TTTGGTTTAAATCAATATTTCACTAGCTCAAATCTTAAGAGAGGAACTTAATCATTTCAATAGTTTCTGTATAGTTCTATATAAATTCTACTTCAACAACTTCAAACTTCCTAACACTAGAAAAGGTAGGCCAGCCTTGCATTTCTGAGCATGTCATCATGCATTGATCGTCACATCTCCGATCATTAACTTCACCGGCAATCCCTTCTATTCCTAAAGCGTGGAAAATGTCTAGTAGGTATAAAATTTTAACAGAAGTCAACTTAACAGTTTTAAACATGTAAGTGCGGGTGTAATTGATGTTAGAGTCATTCACAAGTTTATTTAATTACAATTCAGCCAAAAATTATATTATCACAAGTATGTAAAAACTAAAAAAAGAAATGAAGTTACTTTGTTGCATCAGCAGCTGCCGTCATTCTTGCACCATCCCTACCTATCACAAATTATCTAAACACTCTGTCAGTTTTCAACAATGACTTGTTGATCGACCAGAAAGCTTTTTCCCGCCCAATTTTGATAATTCGAGAAGTCAACTATTTGTTGGTTGACTTGGGTGCAAAATTTAGTGCTTACATCCACCTTTATCAAGACTTGTGCCGATACTGCCATTACAATCTTGACATCATTTGGAGGTTGTGCATTGACCGCATTCAGGTGATCATCAGACCGCTCTTGTGATTGAGCTTTATCCTTTTTCTTTGAACAATCTTTCTTCATGTTCCCAAACTTCTTACAGTAAGAACATTGTACTCTTTTCTAGACTATGGTCTAAATTGATTGTTGCTTAAATTACCACCTCTTGACTTGTATCTCCTCCGAGTAACCAAACCTTCACCCTGGTTGTTTTCATCGGCTTTACCAGTCAATTTATTTCACAACTCATTGGAACCTAAGGTATTTTTCATATCCTCGAGAAATTTTTTCTCGTCCATAGAACTTAGTACCGATAAAATTCTCGTCAAGGATGGTAATGAACATAAAAGGATCATCGCGTAGTCTTCATAATCGATTTTAGTATTGATATTATTGAGATCCATAACAATGGAATTAAATGTATCTAAGTGCTGGAGAATAGGTGTACCTTCCTCCACTTTAAGGTTGTAAAGTTGCTGCTTGAGTTAGAGCCGGTTTGTGTACTTGCTTTCAAATCAAGCCGCAAACTGGACATGATAGTTTCATTCAATACCTCCCTAACACTTAATCTTGAAGACTTAATTGCATAGCACTATGTGCCTTATCCATGATCATGTCCTTTTGGTCCTTGAAAGCGTATTCAACAATTTATCTTTACCTCCCAAAGCTTTAATCAATCCTTGTTGGACCAACATCACTTGCATCTTGATGTGGCATAAACAAAAGCTATTCTTTTCGGTAAATTTCTCGACTTCTTGTTTGGTCGATGACACACATTTGCAACCATATTAACAAAAAATCCCATATGCTATAGTACAAATACAATCACTATTTTATACCAGACTACTATAATATAACCGAGTACTAGAATTCTCTAGCGGCTATAATATACTTGTTGCTTCAGTGTACTGCAAATATTTTATTTGGTCCAGGGCTGAATTAATTGGATCCAAGTCAACTAGGTTTGGACCCAATCCAAGCTCAATTATCCAAATTTTATTTATTTTATTTTATGATTTTATCTTTATTTTATCCACATATATATCTTAATTATTTATTTATTTTTTTTTTAGTAATTTCTTTATTTGATTTTTCTATTTTTGTTATGGTTTATCTCTAATTTTAATTTTATTTATCTTTAAATATTTTATTTTATTTTATTTGATCTCATTAGCTTTTTTTTTTTAAAAAATAAAAATTAAAAAAAAGGAAAGAGATAATGGAAAAAGGATAAATGGCTGACGATCAATGGGAGGTGGTCGGCGATTTGGTTGCGATTATCCATATTTGAAATTGAATAAAGGTTTTTCTTGAAGATAAACCTAACTTTCCCTTCAATGATTTAAGTTTTGAAGATTCCAAGTTTTATCAGAGTACCAATCAAGCCTAAATTTTTTTTCTATAAATAGTCCTTTAGTTCACAGCAAAAGGACAACAATCACACGCGACAATTAGAGATAGCAAACACAACAATCATAGGGCAATTTAGAGTGAAAAAAAAAAAAGAGGAAAATTAGAAATTCGAGAGCCATTCTTTTAGCAATAGGTTAAATTTTAGGCAATATATTAATTGTTAGGTTTGAAGGATTTTAAAAATGATTTTGAAGGAGAATTTATAGGCAAATAGATCTCGAAAGTCCAAAGTTGTCACGGGAAGTTGTTGAATATTTTTTTGCATTCATTGTTTTTTGGAAAAATATGAGAAATTTTCAGATTTCGATGACATTTAAGTTTTTTGATGACTATTCTAGCTAAAATTCTAGATTTTGATGCATTTTTTTCAGAAACTAGCAACAATTCAACCAGAGTTCATTGTTTAAGAAATAGGAATAGAGAAAAGAAAGGGAAGAGAAAGAAAGTGAAGAAGAATTTTGAGGCATAAAAGAGAGATTTTGGCCTTTTATACACATCTTAAACGATGATGTTTTGAATCCTAAAACCCATTTAGGATCTACGTGACTTTCCATTTTTGGATCCGACCTATATGCAACTCGATTGGCAATTTGGTTTCAGCACCCAATCTAAGACAAACAAGCTGTTGAGCCACCAGGCCAAGCTACAAAGTCGAGTCGCACCATCCTAAGTCAGTTTTTGTGCCTGCAACTGAGCTGCACCTTTCCAGTTAAGTCAAATCGTTCTTTTTTAGTTTTTTATTTTATTTTATTTAAAATTTGCTTATTTTAATTGATTTTAATTGGTTATTTTTTATTTTTATTTATTTTACTTGTATAAATTTTATTTATTCTAATTGATATTTTTAAAAAATTGAAAAATATTATTTTTCCCTACTAAACGATTGAAGGATTTTAATTTTAAATTATAAATTCTACCAAACAATTGGAGAATTTCATAATGAATTTTGAAAATTAGTTTTTTTCCCTACCAAAATGATTGGAGGATTTTAATTTTAAAATTATAAATTCTACCAAACTATTAGATAATTTCATAATGAATTTTTATGAAAAATAAAATTGTTTTTTAATTCTATCAAATGATTGAAGGATTTAAATCTTGAATTATGAATTCTACCAAATGATTGGAGAATTTCATATGAATTTTTGAGAAAAACAAAATTTCAATTCTACCGAACAATTGGAAGATTTAAATATGAAATTAAATCTTATCAAACTATTGAAAGATTTAATGACTTTTTTTAAAAATTTAATGGAAATGTTTCTAAATAAAAATCTCACCAAACTATTAGGGGATGTGTATCGAATAAAATCCTACCAAACAATTGAAAGATTTTATTGATTGTTTTCAAATATTAATTTCTTGAAAAACATATTAATGAATCCGACGATGGAGCTTTTTTAGAGTGGGACATGAGTCTCCATAAGAGGTGAAAAAAATTATTTTAAATTACTACCAAACGATTGAAGTAACTTTAATACCAATTTTCAATGTTAAATTTACTTGGTAAAATTACAAATACTTTTTAAGGCTTGGATAATATTAAATCAAATTGGTACCATCCTTTAGATGGGTGTTGTGATGATGTTATAACCTTTCTCACATGCAACCATACTCTCCGACCTTGATCTAGTTTTATGGACTAGAATATACCTTTTAAAAATACCTAAGTTAAGCTTGAGACTTTTCTTTAAAATAGAACAAATTTAGTTAAATGGTTAATCACACCTACACAAAAAAGATTGGTGGTGACTTCTTTTATTATGTATAATGGTAGGTTTACGAATCTACACATTATGATAGTTTGATGACTTCATTGGGGATAGCCAAGAGTCAGGCTAGTAAATGAATTTATATTATCTAGGCCTAATGTTTTCTTTAAAAAGAATATTTTTTTCTTTTCTTGATTTATTTTTCAAACTTTTTGTCATAACGTCTAGATCCGGGGATCTATTGCTTGACATTGACTTTTAGGGAGTCGCCACCAATCTTTTTTTACCTAGGTGCGATTGGCCACCTAAAGAATCTGTCCTTTCAGGGAACACCTAAGCTTAAGGGTCCCTAAAAGAATAGGTTCAGGTCTGCTAACCAGAACAGAGTTCGGGAGTTCGGTTACGTGTGATGAAGGTTATAGCACCCTCACAACGCCCATCAAAAGATGGTACCAGCTTAAATTTGTATTATCCAAAAGCCTTAAAATTTTACCAAGTAATTAATTATTGAAAATTTTTCTCAATTGACTCTAATACTTTTAGCAAAAAATTGAGAAAATTTCCTCACCTCAAGAGTATGCAAAAAAAACTACTGTTTCACTTGCAGAGGCTCCGTCGTCGGATTAGTTAAAGAAAAATCAAAATAAAAATCAAAGTAGAAAGGAAGGGAAGAATTGATTGTTTTTGTGTAGGGAAAATTGATACTTTCAACTTTTCCCCAAAAATATTTTTTTGAAAATTTATTTTTAAGGAAAATTGATACTTTCAACTTTTCCTCAAAAATATTTTTTTTTGAAACTTTGATTTCCAAGGAAAATTTATACTTTCAACTTTTCCTCAAAAATCCCTTTTTTGAAAATTTATTTTTAAGGAAAATTGATACTTTCAACTTTTCCTCAAAATATTTTTTTGGAAATTTTGATTTTCAAGGAAAATTGATACTTTCAACTTTTCCTCAAAAATATTTTTTTTTTGAAATTATTATTTTTATTATTAACCAATGTTTTTAAATCATGAAAACATAAAATAAAATGAGTGAATAAATGACATGCTACAGCTAAAAAAATTCAAAACGGGAAAGAAAATATCTTACCAAAAATTGAGCTTAATCCCGGATCAACATCAATTTAAGTCAACTTTCTGATTCAGGCCTAGATTGTTTCTTGAATGGATTCCAACTCAAGGCTTTGGTTTTGATTAGCGAATGGCTCGGGTTTAAGGTCTTGGGTGAGCCTGTCTTGAAGCTATTTTTGCTAACTGTATTTTTCTCTCTATCATCACAAACATAGGATAAACAGCTACCCCTCTTCGAATAAATGCAGAGATGTCTGGTGCTAACGTCAATTCTGGAGATGACACACGAACAGTCTCCACGTCCTTCTGAGCAAAGGGTGGCAGCAACTGACTGTTTTCATAAAACATTTAGAAATGCTTCAGCAAGTTTATTATCCACTTCAAAAACCATTTCAATCAGTTCCCATCTTTTTTCTGCAACTGTGGCTTCCATTTCTGTTGGTACATTTTCAGCATCAACTTTTTCTCCACTGGTTGAGAACTTTCCATGGATCGGCTCCCATTCGATCGAGTTTGTTAATAAAGGTGAGTCTCAAACCTCATATCTTCTCATTTGTCGATCAACAGTAATTGACTGACTTTGTACACCACCAATACTACACAGAACCCAAATGGCACCGTCAAGAATATGCAGCGCCCTCTCCACTTCAATCGTAAAATCAACATGACCAGGCGTATCAATTATATTAATCTGATAATCTTTCCAGGTGCAACACAGGACAACAGATTGGATAATAATTCCTTTCTCTCTTTCTGAATCCATTGAGTCCATCTCTGCTCTGACGCCGTCTTTGCCACGAACTTCATGGATGTCATGGATCCGACTCGTATAATAGAGAATCCACTCCATTAGCGTGGTCTTGCCCGAGTCGATGTGAACGGAGATTCCGATGTTTCAAAGTCGTTCCATTGACTTGCCTCGCTTTGAAGGAGAAACTGCACTGTTTAGCATTGCTTTTGTTTCCTACCCAGCATAAACCACCACGCCTAATATCCAATCCATGTTCTTCAGCTGATAACCACGTAAAACAATGTTTGATTGGCTGAAGGGGAATTTTTATCCATTAAACTCCATGTTGGCTGTGAACTCATAAATATTCCTATTAGGCTGCTCACATCCGATCAGCCCCGATGTATTACAACCTTCAAATAACAAAGAAGCTGTTTCCTTCTTATTTTTTTCCTTCTTAAACTATGAACACTATCGTTCCAGATCTGCTAGCTACTTTGAAATTTGTCCCAACTCCTTCTTTAAGCACTCAACCTCGAGATTCTTAGCGTTTTCAAAACCGTGAACTAGCCACACATGAGTCAAAGGAGTAGTACATTTATTTGGACTCTGATCTGGTCGTTGTTGATGATATCACTAAGTTCTGGAGTACTAACCTGGGTTCAAGAACAATCGGGGCACCAGAACATTGCCACACAAACTCCACAAAATATTTCACGGGTGGGTTCTGAAAGGGCGAACGATTTTCAGTGACTTTCAAAGGGAGGAAGCCTTGCTATCTTAACACGGGGATTAATGATGTGACGATATTGGTGGTGGTGGCCGTGGCAAAGGTGGTAAACAGGAGGAAAAAAGAGGGCTGTTTTGGTTAGCAGGAGAACAAAAAAAGTTTCTTTAACTTGTATAAGTTCGTCCAGGAAACTCACGTCCCGTTCTTCTTCATTTTTTTTTCGCTCATCCCTTTTTCTTAGTTTCTGTTTGACCTTTTCTTTTGCGCCCTCCCCTCTCCTATCCGGATTCTCCTTCTATCTTTTTCTCTTTTTTTTTCGTTTCCTATTCGAACTCTTCTTCTATCTTTCCTCCCCCTATCCAGATTCCTCCTCTATTTTTTTTCTGTTTTGTTTTTTTTTTTTCTATTGCTGTGAATTGTAATGGCATATAAAACCAAGTGATTGTGTTTCAGTTTGATTCCCATTAGTCATCAAATGCTAAAGATTAGCACCTAATTTTTTGATCATCATCAAACTTAATCTCAATCTTTCCTTTTTTTTTTAAATAATCAGATAATCAAAAGAAAGAAAAAGAAAATAAATCATAAAATAAAAAAATGATAAATATGAAATAAACAAAATCTAAAATAAAAAGGAATAAAAATCCCTGCAACTGAGCTTAGATTATTCTCAAATGACAAAGAATCTCGGACAAAATGGGGTGTCTACAGCTGCCCCTCTTTGCACATTTTTTGGGAAACAAAATTGTGCAAAGACGTAGACACCCCTTTATGACTCAACTGGATTTTTTTTTTGCCCATTTTTTCTTGCTTCTTTTTTTTTTTTTAAATTTTGATCAAAGCTCCTCTAAGCGAAGGCTCAATGATTTTGAGAAACATAAACAAAGCTCCTCTAAATAGAGGCAACTTTTTTTTGTCCATTTTTTTTGCTTTTTTTGCTTTTTTTTTTTTTTTAAATTGATCAAAGCTCCTCTAAGCAGAGGCTCAATGACTTTGAGAAACATAAACAAAGCTCCTCTAAATAGAGGCAACTTTTTTTTTTGTTTTTTTTTTTTGACCAAAGCTCCTTTAAACAGAGGCTCAACGACTTTGCGAAACATAAATTGCTCCTCTAAACAGAGGCACCACGACTTTGGAAAAGTAAATTGCTCCTCTAAACAGAGGCACCACAACTTTGAAAGTAAATTGCTCCTCTAAACAGAGGCACCACGACTTTGGAAAGTAAATTGCTCCTCTAAACAGAGGCAACAGAACTTTGAAAGTAAATTGCTCCTCTAAACAGAGGCACCACGACTTTGGAAAGTAAATCGCTCCTCTAAACAGAGGCAACGAACTTGGAAAGTAAATTGCTCCTCTAAATAGAGGCAACGAACTTGAAAAAGTAAATACTCCTAGACAATCATGTCCCAAGGAGTTGAAAGTTGTGTTTGAGGGAATTTCAAGAGATCATGCCCAAAGGTCTTATAAATCAACCCTGATACCAAAAGACATCCTATTTCAAGGATTAGGAACTTACCTGACAAGTTTCTTCTCCATCTTGCAAAATATCTTCATATTTGTCTTCTCCATGTGAGATGTTGGAACACCCCTGCTTCTTGAATTTGTACACTATACTTTCCTGAAAGTAGTGTATGCTATGCAATGTGCATGATTTTCAATGCATGCTATGCAAATGTTGGCCAATTAATTCCTGTTCAATGTATGGTACTCAAGTTTCTCAAGCTCTTTTTTTCTTTCTTGGGTGTCAAGCCCTTTGATTCCTCAAGGATCCAATTGCACTGCTCTTCTAAGATCGAACCAGTGTAGCTCTCAATTGTCCTTTCCACTCACATTCTTTCCTTGTTCAGTTTCTCAATACTTTGGAATAAGCTTCATCAATCGATCATCCCTTGACCATCATTCAATGAATTTCTCAGCACTAGCAAATTTCAAAACAAATTTCATCCACCATCACTGGGTCCTTGTCTCAGCATCAACCATTCCAAAACAGACTTTGTCTACTGATTGTCTTCATCATTCAATCATATCTTGCAAGTCATATCGATCAATTCATCACTTTTCAAGATTTGCCCCATCATCTCTTTTAGGTTTCTACCATTTCTTCATCATCTTAGATTTCTTTTCAAATGAATGTAAGATTCTTTTAAGCACATATTCATTCATTCATTATCATTTCAAATTTTGGCAAATACAATGCAATCAAGCATTTTCTCAATTCATTCTAAGAGTGTAACAATAAGAGGACAGAAAGTGAATTATGGTAAAGATAATCAATGGAGATCTATTTTGGTAGAAAATAAATGGGAAAAGAAATAAATTGGATGTCATTGAGGTGAATGGTATGTCCAAATGATGAATATTCAGACAATTTTCAACATTAATCTAGGATTCTTTTTCAAAAACTCGTTCCATTTACTGTTGAAGTCATCTTGAGCTTGGCGAACTCTGCCCCAGTCTTTGAGAGATCTTCAGATGTCTTTGATCTTTCATTGATGTGAACCATTTGACCTGGATCCTTTTTTTTTTTTTTTACCAAAATCACCCTTTCAGGTTTTCAATTTGAATATCTTTTTTTTATTTTCTCATTTTTTCCTTTTTTTTTCTTTTTTTCTTTTTTTTCATCATCTTTTTTTTTCATTTTTCATCCATTGTTGATATCTTTCATGTAGCATGATTCCCTTGCTTCATCATGAGCATGTCTTTGCTCAACATATGACCATTCAAGTTGGGTATTCACACTTGATCCAAATGGACTTTTCAAGGTTGTAACGTAGGCTAAGGTGAAGGGTAAAAAAAAATGGATATAATAGACTCAAAACATGTATTAAAAAGGTTCAAAACCAAAGGATCATTCGATACAACTTGACGTTTTGCCCCACATCGTTTCACTACTTTTTCTTTTCTCACACAAAAGATTCTCGTTACTTTGCCCCAAGTCATGTGTGGCATGTATTTTTTTTTCTTTTTTTTCTCTTTCCATCTTTGAGACCTTTTGTGGTGTTTTTTCTTTTTTTTTTTGAGATCTTTTGTGATTTTTTCAAAAATTGCCCCCCAGTGTAGAGGGTGATCCTTGGTTGGGGTTCTTCAGAAAAAAGTGATAGGCTCAAAGGGGTAACAATAAATGGTTTTTCAAATGGTAAAAGAAAGGTGGCCATTTTTCATCTCAATTGTGAATACCTTTCTTGAACATCATCTATTGAACAAGGCTCATGAACTTGTATAAAAGATTGCACATCTTCAAGACATATCTATTTCTTCTTCAGTAACAGCTTATTTTTTGCTCAAATCATCTTCTCATATTAATGTGGATGAGTTCTCAAAATTAAATCCCAGAATTATTGTTATCATTGTCTAAATATTCATCATCTGAAATTTAAGAATGAGAATGTGAAGTTATGAAAGGTAACGGGGCATAGAATAATGGTCGAGTGAAAGAGAAAAATGTAATGAAATGCACTAACTTGCCTTTATTAAAATGATAACAAGTGAAGTCATATTGCAAAAAAAAAATCTAACATTACTTGAAAAGAAATCTTAAAATGATAAAAAAAACCTTCAACCAGCCTTATCTCCATTAAAAATTAGCCCCCTATATGATTAGGTGAAGAAATCCCTATTGACATCTTGCCCCTCAATTCATTGTGACTCTCCGGCCCCTTTCTGTTCTTGACCTTCACTCAGAACGCTAACATTAGGTGTTGTTGCTTTCCCTTGATCGAAACTTACCATTCCATCATTGATCAATCGTTGCACCTTATGCTTTAAAGCTGTGCAATTTTCAGTAGAATGGCCAGTAATTCCATAATGGTAGTCACAACGGGTTGTAGGATCATACCACTTTGGATAGGGTGGTTTAAGTGGTTCCATATGGCTGGAGGCAATCAAGTGGCTATTATAGAGTTCTCAATATAACTCTGTATAAGTCATAGGGATTGGATCAAATACAGGTTTTTCTCGAGTAGTCCGTTGTTCTCGTGAGCCACTTGTTGGGTTAGTAGAACGAATTTGGGTTCTTACAGGAGCTTGAATGTTAAGGCGGTAAGTGGATGAATAAGATGGTTGTGGGGCTAGCTGGTATGGGTAGGATGAGGCGTTATTCACAGCAGGATAGTATGGAGAGTAACCTTGAGATGGATAGGGTTGATAACCCCCGAATTGTTGTCTATCAAAGCTCACAGCTTGAGCTTGAGCTTCTTTCTTTTCTGATGTCTTCTTGGTTTCTCCTCCTTTCAACTTATCACTTTTTATGGCACTTTCAATAATTTCTCCAGAGATTACCATGTCAGCGAAATTTTTTGTTGCATTTCCTATCATCTTTTCATAATAGAAAGGCTTCAAAGTA